TGCCGCGTTTTCTAACTGGTGTGCTACAGCCAGTTTGATTTTATAATTTATGTCATCGTGGTTGACGACTGACATTGGGCCCATTCTTATGGTCCCGACGTTGACTTCCTCACCCTCTGAGTCGGGTGAGTATTGAGGTCCTTGATATGGGTCCTCTACTTCGAAGCTTGATGCTTCGGAGTTACCAGAGTTGTTCTCTGGTTTCTCATCTGATGAGCCTTTCGACTCTTCATCCATTGAGTTCGTGATCTCCATGGCAGCTATGCGCCTTGGTTTTTCATCGCTCGTTATATTGTGTCTTGGGCAATCTTTCGTTTGCCCTATTTTGCCGCATTTGCCGAAAATTGGAACTGACTTTTGGTCAGTTTTCCTCGAGTTTTTCAAGGATGTATCCTCTTTCCATCTGGGTTTCAGCTCTTCCGCCTTCTTTCCTGATGGGAGGGCTCTGCCGCGGCTCGTGGTTGCCGTGGTAGTTGTTCGGGTATAGTAACCTGATTTGTAGGCTGAAGACATCTTCAGCCCGTCAATTATCTCGTCTACACAAGATATTGCTTTTAACATCTCCTCGTTTGAGGAGAAGTCTGCTCTGATTCTATCATGAGTGATCATTTCCCTCTTCCATTCAAGGGGAATGTAGTTTAGGAACCTGGCGTTGAAGGATGCCTGGTCTGGTGGCATCACCATCTGGGACGCTGCTTTAGACAGTTCTAAGTAGAACTGTTTTAGGCCTTTTTCCGCTTCGTATTTGACGTTGCAGTACTTCTTTGTTGCGTTCAATGCGGCAGAGGCTTTAATGAAAGTTCTCATCAATATGTTGAGAACTTCGAGGAACATGCCCTCATCTCCTCTGAGGAGAGTTTCATCTCGGAGTCTTATTCCGAGGTCGAACATGGATCCCCCTAATCCACGAATCAAGCAGTCCAGATGGACTTGGTCAAATTGGGGACCTTTGCATCCTCGCAAAGCAAGGAATCCCAGTAGTTCTGTGAACCACTGCCAGAACAATTCCATGTCGTTCTCCCGACCATTTCTTGTCAGGGAATGCCGGCCCATTTTTTAGGGCTTCAGGCTTCACTCCTTCTGGGTAGGGAGTGAGTATTCTCACTTCGGCCATTCTTATGGCCTTTTTGTACCATTTCTCCAGGTACTCCTCTTGCTCCCCTGCCTTCGTGGGGTCGCTATCCAATGGAGATCTCTCCTTTGGGGGGGTTTTCGCTGGGGGAAATCTTCCTCGCAGCGTTTCTTTGGTTTCAGGCGAATTCACCTGAAGTTGTATTTTGATTCTCTCATTGTTTTGAGAGAGTGTGGTTGAGTTACCTCTCTGTTCGAGAGGTCCGTCGTAAGTGGACATTTGGCTGAACCTTTGGTATGTGCCAATTCTCCTCCTAATTTCTGAATGATGCCTTCTTTCGGCATCGTCTTCTCCTATCCTTGGGAGAAGGATCTCCTTAGCGTCTCTGTCGAGTCGCTGATGATATTCCAATGTGCTTTCACTGGTGGTTCTTTTTGTGAATTTTTCACGAGTTCTATTTATGTCCTGGCCCGTGGTCCAGGGGTGTTTATTTGTTTCCTCACTTTTTTGTGAGAAGTTTATCTCCTTCAGCAAGTCCGTCTGTTTGCTGATTTTTTCAGTCAACACATCGATTGCATTGGCCATTCTTTCTAGAGTTATCTTTAGACGAGCCGTACTATTGTGGTTCATTTCCTCGATCTTTTTTTGGATCGAGTTTATCGCGTTTATTATGCGCGATTCCTGGTTTTCCAGGAGGAAGTTTGGTTGGGCGAGCAGTGACTCTCCCCAGTTGACATTGCCGCTTCTGGGGGTTCCAGAAGGGGTTCTTGGAGTGAACACTCCACGCTCGCTTTGTTTAGGCAAGGCCGTTGTGGAGGGTGCTTCCCTTTCATAGAGGGGTCTGTTTGCTGGTTTTTCCTTACTTTCTGTAAGGCTTCCTCAGCGAACTCCCTCATTTCAGTTTGCCTCCTCTTCATTATCTCGGAGACCTTCTCCGAGGTTGGCAACCTTGCCTTGTCTGGCATGGCATGGGGGAGTGTAAACAGCGGAAGTTCTTTTGGAGCTTCCATGCTCTGGGAAATCCTGCTCTCAGGGCGTTTTTTTGCGCCTTCTCAGGCTGAAAGCCTGAGAAGAAGTTGGTCTTCGCTTTCCATCCTCCATTCAGATGGAACCTGGAACAAGTCCAGTAGTTTTTTGGATAGCCGATGCAGGGGTTCTTCCCTTTGTTTCCCTTTGTCTGCCTTTGGGGCTTGACTTGGGGACATGAGGGAGGACTCCAGGGGATAGTTGGGCCCTGGAGTTTCCTGCAACTCTATCTGATCAGCTTTTTGGGCTGATTGTTCAGCGCTTATGCATTTATCGTGCAAGTCAATCACCTTGTGAGGAGGTGAAGGATCTTCCCCAGCTTGGGTTAGATCGGTATATCGTGGAGTTCTAGGGGTATTAGGCCCCACACTTACTCCACGTAAGTTTCCTTCAGGGGCCAGCCCTGAGGTGGTTGCTAATGCCGGATCGTGTTGATCCTCGTCGTCGTCTGATGATGGCTGTTGATTTGAATCTCCCCTGATGGGAGATTGCGGTTTCTTAATAAACCGCTCATTTCTTTTTAGCCTCGCTGCAGATGCGACCTTGCCCTTGCGGGCATGTTTAGGCGCCATTGGCGCTACCGAGTCAGATGTTAAGTTTGATTAGTTTTTGTGGGTTGTGTTGTAAAACACACCTCATACACTTAAAAAAGTGTGAGGTCTCAGGGTAGCTCAGCACACAGAGCCATAAGTGATACAAGTGTGTGTATTTTATGGTAGTGTGTAAGCAGTTACCCGGAGGTTCCTGCTTACCCACGTGACTATATGTATCTAATTACATGTGGCTTGGGGTTTGGGGCTATTGCCCTGACATGGAGGGAGATGGGCCTAGTGTGTTGACCTGTTAAGTGACTCTGATTAATATATGTATTAACACTCTGGATATCTTGACATACACGTTTGTCCATAGTACCCTTGGGCTCCATTCCAATACCCTTGTTCATCTGAGAGGGTTGGGTTACCAGTGTTAGAACTGGGCGGAAACGGACGACTCCGGAGTGGAATCGGAGACTTAGCGTGGAGGGACCTTGGCCTCAGCGACTCAAGCGGAGCGCTGTGCCATTGCTGTTTGTCCATTTGGTCCTTAATTTCACAGTAGGTGAGCAGGAAGTCTCTAGGGGGCATTTCAGGTCGATTTCGGACTAAAACCAAAACGAGTATGTACAAGCGCCGATATATATAACGGAAGGGGCAAAAGCACAAGGAGAACAAAGGGTGACCGAATCGGAACGAAGACGTCCGAAAGGGAACAAAGGGTAGAGGGAGCAGAGCGGTACCGAAGGTCATAAGGCAGGACCTGTGATACGTCCGAAAGGAGGTAGGGAGGGCGAGGCCCAGAGGGGCAGGAGGATGAGGGGAAGTGGGGATGATGACTAACTGGCTAGAATAGGAAGAAGCAGTAGTCCAAATAGGGATGAGGGGAAAATGCGAGAAATACATTACAAGCGGCGAAAGTGCCGAAGGCGGTCCGCGAAGCTCGGGGGTTGCGGAGCTTATGGAGGTTACGGAGGCGGGGTTGAAAGTCCGAGGGATATTGGCAATGGTGTTCACGTAGTATGAGGTCACCAATGCAATGGACTAAGACCGAGGTGGAGTCAAAGTCCGAGGTAGGGACTATGACGGAGGCTCGGAGTAAGGTACGAGCGGTGTCCGAGTGCGAAGTACGGAACAGCGGTGGACGGTCGTAACTTGGCGGAAGGGTGGCGGAGGAGTAACGGAGGGAGGAGAGAGGGGACAGGTAAGGGGAGAAGGAGTGGCGGAAAGGAGAGTAGTCAGGTCCGAAGGTGAGTATCGGAGCGGACGGGGGAAGCGTAGGAGGATAACGGGAGGGTGGAGGTGTTGTGAAGGGGGAGCGGAGTAGTAGGAGGGTGGCGAGAGGTAAGGAGGAGGTGTGTTGCCAGGACCGAAGGTGAGTATCGGAACGGCAGCGGTAGGTTATGACTCCGGAGGTGAAGAGGGTGGAGGTCCGGAAGTCGGGTCGGGGTCGGGTATGCACGGATATGACAACCAGGATTAATAGGCAGAGGTTGAAATGGTGTGAAGCCATCGCTATTCATGGTCAGGATCTCATCATTGGCAGCGGAATCGTGCTCAGATGGCTCTTGGTATGTCCAGCCTGTATTCATCTAGGACTCCGGGTGGTGTAAGGACAGAGGCAGAAGAGGGCATCTATCTTTTATCGTCTATTGTCCTGTATGTACATCGAGAGATGAATGCGTGATATTGATCAGAATATGTTGTCATGGTTTCCTTTGTTGGAAAAAGTGCTTTCCAGATGTGGATTTGAATATTGGTAATCATTATCAGCCACCCCCCAATCCCCATCATTTCCTGGCCCCATCCATGGTAAAGTGACACATAATCCACCAGTGGACAGAACCAATTTCCGCTGTGGGAAATAGCATGGAAATCCGGCTGTCCCCATGATTTCTGCAGCGGAAATCTCTGGCTTAAACACAGTGACTTCAGCCTAAGTGGCCAGGGATGCCTATCTGTACCAGGTCCGCTGCTATGCATGCCTGTGTCACACCCTACCAGGCCCTCAGTGCCAGGCAATACACCTGGATGCTCTCAACCCTGGGTCGGTCCCTGACAAACATCTGACTACTCTTTGGCCTGGTGCACTATGCACTGGTGCCCTATCTTTTTCCATAAAACATTTGCCTTTTTGCATTATCATCCCCCTTAGTTCACTTTAACGTTTAGAACATTCTCAGTTCACTTTAACACTTTAACGTGAAGCTGAGTTATCTTGTGATTAGCACAACTAGAGTGCTTGTGCTTCGCGCTTTGCTTGACTCTGCACATGTTTCCTTTCACCTATCCCGGCATGAATCTATTTCTATTTTTTTTCAGTTCATTTCGCGAATATACTTAGGCTATAAAAATATGTGTTTAATTGGAATGCAGACATCTGACAAACACAATCCAATTTTTCCAGTCATTCAGAGTCTGGAATTATATAAAGGCAAAGCCAAAAAGAAGGTGGTATGGCAACAAATCACAGTGGAACCAGCATATCCCTTCACGGACTACCATGCACAAGGACAGACAATGTCATGGAATACCTGTGGTCAGACATAGGAACATCACCAAGCATGTTGACACCTTTTAATGCATGGATGACATTGTTGCATGCAAGAGGAAAAAAAGCCATATAATTAAGCCAAGACTTTAAGGACAAGAGCTGAGTGGGAGTGGAAATGGTGGAAGGAAAGTAAAGGGAGAGAAGGGACAGGCGAGATGATGTAAAAGTAAGCATGTAAAGAAAAGGAAACAACCCAAAAGGGAAGATGATGACAAATTTTCAGCATCACCAATTGCGTAATATTAGGAGTGGTTAGTGACTCTGTGTGCAGAGTAATTACTAATAGAAAGAGCCATTACATCGCAGATGCAGGATCAAAGACCTTGGTAGCCATCTTTCCCTTCGATGGCTGTGCTTTGGCACCAAGGGTGGCATTGGAGGAGACACCCACAGAAGGCTTGGAGCCACCAGCCTCTTTCAGCTTGACCATCATCCTGGTTTGGCGTGTTGGAGGCCTGGAGGGCTGGGGTGGAGAAATAGGAGGACTGCTCTCTACCTCCTTTTCCGACGATGGTTCATCCACCTGCTGTTCATCACTCTCCTCATTCTTATCGATCCCTGATTCATCCCTACCCTCATCATCCTTGTCATCATTCACCTCCTCTTCATCCTCATCATCCCTCCCCTCCCCTTCATCCTCATCATCCTCAAGGCGCTTCCCAACATGCCCACGGCTAATCTGTGTTGGGGGAACATATGGAGGCGAATCCGATTCATCACGATGACGATGACGTTGCAATCGACTATGATATGACTGCAATCAGTATATTGGAGGAGACAATAATGGATGCTGACATACTGAATGGGTGTCTCAGGTACCAGCTCATGTGAGTCTTCAGAGTGGGGGGTAGACTCTTCGATGTGGCTCGCATCCTCAGGATCGTCATCAACAGTGTGTGGATTCTCGAACATGAGATCATCTTCATTATCCTCTTGATTTTCCTTGTCTAGGCGGCTCTTCTTAGAGGAGCGAGCTAGATGGGAGATATGGATAATGATGTTGAAAGTCAAAGAGAGAATGATGCTTACTGGTTTTTGGAGAGACACTGGAGGGCTCTGCTCGTCGCTTACCCTTCATGGAAAAAGGAGGCACTTGGGCACCTTGTGCCTGCTGCTTGAGTCGCTTGGTAATTTCATTCTTGACAGCATCATCCACTGAGTCCTCCTTCAAGATCCAGTCAGGGAATTTCACTGGGTCCTTCTTGAAATCGCGATGCTAAAAGAATGATTTGTTAGGTGGGGATGTGTAATGGTTCAAGGCAAGAGGAAGGCTTACAGTGGACAAGACCTTGAGGTGTTTGGGGTGGCCTGACCATCCGTCAAGGCCACCAAGGACTTGACCTTCATCAAGTGGAACAACATCTGATTTGTAGAGAGTGCCTTGATAGCCAGCAACATGGAGTCTGGAGGCTAAGGATGAGAGGTGGAGTTGCTGTGGAAGGAGAGTGTGAGAAGAATGGTGTGGGAGAAGGGCAAAGGGAGTGACACTCACTCCATTGAGATGCTCTAGGGTGGTCAAAACTCCATTATTGATGGGGGAATTGGGATCACTTCGATCAGAATGAAGAAAGGGAAGTGCGACTATCTGTTTGAAGATGGTCGTGATGGCAGAACGGTCACGGTGGCCAGTGAGTAGGAAAGTGCGGCTGACATTGGGAGCGGCAGCCACATATGAATCGATGGTGGTAAAGGTGGCTGGTAGGATCTCTTCAAGACCATCAATGAAGACGAAAGGATGCTTGGTGTAACGCAATGCATCACCAAGGAGGTTGCGGAGGTCCCTCCTGAAGAAGGACCAAGCAGTCTCCTTAAGGAGTTCTGGACGATAGGAAGCAGAGATGGTGCTGGCGAGATATGCAGCTACACGAAGGCTGCGGGAATTTCGGCCTACATTTTTGTTGGAAATGGTGGGCTCATATGCCCAGCCAGTAACAAGGATGAAGGAGGGGATGGTGGAGCCCTTCTGGAGGCGAAGACGAAGGGCTTCGTTGGGATCCCCACCTTTGTTGTAAGCACCAGCAACGTTGACATACTTGATGAGCTTGTCGCTAAGCTCCTTTTCATCTTTCCATGTCAAATTGAAGGGGGCTTGGCCCAAGAAGCCTGGGATGGGCTCATTGAGGCTAAGGGATTGTTCGTCGATTGGAGTACGTTTCTTAGCAGACTCTGAATTATCTGCATGTTGACGACTACGTGTGCGGGAGCGGGCCTTTGAGGTGGAAGGGTTGGAAGGACCAACAGCAAGGTGTTGATCATCATTGTCGATGTCATCGTCGGAGGGAGCTTTCTTTGATGGCTTTGACTTTGCGACAAGCTTCTCAGAGCCATCATCCATGATGTGAAGGAAACGCTTTTGTGATGCGTCAATGAACAAGGCAACATCCTTGTCAATGGAGGGCTGGAATGAAAGAGCATATAGTAGCTCAGATGCGGCGGAGTTGAAGTGGGGACGGAAGCGCGTGTAGATTGTCCAAGCCAGCTAGACAGGATGAGATATGATAATTAGACAATAATGACGGGAATAATAAACGAAGTTGGCTTACATCACGAAGGGTCTTCTTGGAAATACGGAGGAGCGGGTCGATGTTGAGGGCATGCATAACGCCCACAGCGCCATCATGGAAAGGATGCTTCTTGGGGCTGACAATGTATGGAGAAACCCCATCGAGCCAGGAATGGATCTGGAGGATGATTGTCAATATGATGTGTAAGAAGCTGAGTGACATGACGACGAAGGAGAGAGAGATAAGAAGGGTAAGGATGAAACACGCCCGGATCAGACATTTCCGATCCGGGCGCACTGCAAGCTGACATTAAAGTTATGCCCGGATCAGAAATTTCGTATCCGGGCGTATTTGTAAAAGTCCCTCAAGTGAAGGGATTAAACACGCCCAGATCAGAAATATTCGATCCGGGCGCACTGTTGTGACTTGTCGTCACCCACACCAGAATAGAAAACAAACACAGATGTAACACGAACAATCACATACCTCATGAAGTGCTTTGGTGTGAGGCTGCAATGCTTCATCATACCACTCCGCCATCACGTTTGTCGTCACTGGGACATAGTAGTCATCCAGTCCCCCATAGAGTAGCCGGGCACGGTTCATCACCAGCTCGCAATGCCCCTCGTCGAGCCCCTGGACTGCTCCAGAACGCACCTGTGGAACAACGAGCTTCTCGAACAGGACCATCAGGTCTTTATAATACCCGATGTAGGCCGTCTCGTACTCCTCAGTGACTGTCATGAAGGTCTCTGCCTTATCGAACCATCGCTGATGAATCTTCGCTGCGCGTGTCAGGAACTCATCGTCGATCAGTGTCCAGTTGCCAAGTGGCATTTCGTAAATCGTCACTGCCATGAAGAATGCCACTGACCCTCTTTGTTGTTCCTTGTAGCTCGCGATTACTTGCCTCACTTCCCTGGAATATGGGACCTCGTTTGTTTCCATCAGCTTCATCATCTGCTCCCGACGTGTATTGATTGCCTCATATGCAATCGCTTCCTTGTTGCTGTCAGCACGACTTGGGGAGAAGATGAGTCGCAGCCTCTCCATGTCTGCGACCATTAACTTCGATATCCACTATGGTGTCATACATTTGTCAGCACTTGATCCCGCAGAGACAGTCACATCAAACTCAAACATAATACGCACCCCTCCATATGTCTTGCTCACCCTCGACAGTGCAGAAACAGAGAACGATGCCTTCTTTTGCCGGAAGTGCTCTCCGCCACACACCATCACTCGACACATGTCCTGAATTTCTTGGTCTTGCATCAGGTGGACGTATTTTGGGTCTTTCTCCATCCACATCGTGCTGGGTGGCTGAGGCAGCCGTGAGCCTTTCTCCGGCTCTCGTTTCGCAGCACTCCAGTGCTGACAGTAACTCGGACTCGTTTCCTCATCGGTGTACTGTAGGTCGACAATTGACTGTGCCCAATATTGAAGACGGTCGCTAACGGATTCCTCCACTGTCGTTGTGTCCATATTGCGGGACAAAGAATGGACGACAAGTGACCCCTCCGCCGCGTCCTTCTCAATGGTTTCTACATTGGAACAGATAATTGCAATCAATATCAATGATGGTCATTGGCCTCACCTTGGTCATAGACGATGACGACCCATTTGTCATCATGCACATCTAAGTATGTTTTCCGTCGCTCCAAATCATCTCGACATTCGTTCCTCAACTGCTTCAATCGCCCATTGTCTCGGTCACTTTCCAGTTGTTTTTTGAGGGTGGCCAACTCGGCCTCAAGCCTCGGGATCTCGTCATTGCAAATTTGGAAAGCCAGCTTCATGGCTTCCCAACGGTGTCGGCCATTCAGAATTGAAATCATACCCGCCGCAGCCACTTTCGTGCCTTCGTCTGTGAGGCTAAGGCTCGGGTACTCAGGCACTGATCGATGAGTAAATTTCGTGACCAGGCCTTTGGTGGGGATCTGGACAAATGACCTCTTGATTAACACCGGGATCATGAACTCCGCAGTGGTAGCTTTGATGCCTTTTTGGATCAGATCTTGCGCGATCGACTCCGTGGCTTTCTTGTTGAGAGGCCGTGTATTGAACGAGCCAAATGTGAAGTTGTAGGGGTTTGTACGCAGTTGGTACTGAAATATCCCTATGATGTGCCCTTCTGCGGCCTTTGTCGATCCGAATACATTTCATGTTAGTGTCAAGCTGGGCGTAGACAAAGGTGATTGACATACATCAGCGGCTTTGGCTTTCACCTCCGCTTTTTGGAGATCGCGCAGCTCAACAGGGAGAGTCGTAGGCCTATATCGATGATGGGCCCATTCGGCACGATTCTTGACAATCCTGCTGATCGCCTGCTCCATATCTGCGTCCTCATCGCTGATGATCACATCTGACTTGATTTTTTTTGATGGCGCCCCTGATCGTGATCGACGTTCAGTTTTTGGTCCTGAAGCAGCTAAGGAGAGAGTAAGGGGGATTGTTCAAGGGGCACGCAGGAGACTCACAAGTCTTAGACATAGTGTTGGGTGGCAAAGAGAGGATCGATCTCACAGTGAGCACAGCCCAGGGCATATATATAATAATAATTACATACTTAAGTTACATACTTAAGTGAGGTTGAATGTATTGTTCAATACAAATTAATTAACGTAAGCAATGCAGTTGTCTGAGCCGTGGGAGCTGTTTCAATGTTAACGGTTGTACTAGATAACCTGTCATGGTGTAATAATAAAAGATGGAGAGGTGACCATGACGCGCCCGTTGCAAAAAACCCCATAGAAAACGGTTGAGAACTGAGGGAGATACGAGTGGTGGCCCATCCCAGCGCGAGGTGTGTGCGTGGGAAACAGTGGCCACGGCCTCATACGGGCTATTTGACGACTAAGGCCAATAATACGATATGTAGAAGTTGTTTGTAAGAGCTCATTAAAAAAACCCCATCGAGAAACGAACAATATTTGACAGAGATATGCATGTACATGTCTTTTGTGTGTGAAAAAATGTGAAAAACGTTCCACTGCCTCATACACCCTCATTCGCGATGTGCTCCAATAGTATAAGAAAACGTAGACGTTAGTACAAGTATGTACAAAAAAGAACGACAAGAAACGAATGATAATTGACAGAGATACGAATGTGCTTGGTTTTTTTGTGAATAATTATGAAAAACCATCCCACTGCCTCATGAACGATCATTCGCGACTTGCACCAATAATAGAAAATGACCAGAGAAGTAGTACGGGCCCATTAAAAGAATTCCGACGAAAAACGAATAAGAATTGACAGATAAACTAACGTACATGCTTTATTTGTGGAAAAAACGTTCCCTCTCCTCATACACGCTGATTCACGACTTAAACCAACAATACTAAATGGAGGGAACGTTAGTTTGGGCCCATTGCGAAAGACCCGACGGGAAACGGTCAAGAACTGACAGAGATACCAATCCAGTGTCAGCTCCACGGATGATCTGTGCGTGGGAAACAGCCTCCAGTGCCCCACAGTTGTTTTTAAAATATGTAAAAATATGGAATACTTGCGTTGATAATATATAAGATAGTGTGCAAAGTTACAGAGCATTTGGTGAAGTATCAAGCGAGATATGATAAATTATTCCATTAGATTTCACTTGGCACCCTCAAGATCACAAAATATCAGGTTGGAGTAATAATGCACATTGTGTAGGGCATTAACACGCGCCCGTTGAAAAAAACCCGAAGAGAAACGAATAGGAACTGACAGAGATACGAATACAGTGTCAGCTCTGCGCATGATCTGTGCGTGGGAAAACGCTTCCCAGCGCCTCACAGATATTTTAAAAATATGTAGAAATGCTGCGTACTTGCGGTGATACTATATGGGATAGTTCGCAAAATTCCAGGACATTTAATCCAGTATCAAGCGAGATATGGTAAATTATTCGATTAAATTTCACTTGGCACCCTCAAGATCACAGAATATCCAGTTGGAGTAATGATACACATTAGGGGGTTTCACGGTAAGCTAGATTGGGCTAAACTGAGAGTCTAAATCGAGTCTAAACTGCACAATACTGGAGCGAGTTTTGGAGCGGGCTTAAGCCGCTGTTAAGACACAATTTGAGGGCGTTCACAGTAAGCACTCTAAACTGGAGTCTAAACTGGAGTGTCCCTGGGTTCGTTAAATCCGTCTGAGGTATCAGGTGCTTGGCTTATGTAACCATGCAACTGGTAGTTGAAGTCGACGTTGGGCACTTGTCTGTCCACACTTTCCTCCTGACTCACCACCAGGGCTGATAGTGTGTGCTATGCTTCATGATGGACTGGGTGTATACGCTCTGAAATGGATGATTCTAGTTTGAATGTAACGGTTATAATGCCAGTCCTATCTCAAGTTCCATCACTAGCACCGACTGTCCCTATGATTCCAACTTGCACTCTTGCCCATGGAGTAGGACAGCGATTGATAGCAGGTACCATTACATGTGGGATGATGCGCTTGTAGAAGTACATATGGATTTGCTAGTAAATTCACAAATGAAAACGGATGTGCATTGAAAATTTTGGGGATGAGCTTGTATAGGTAAGGGATATATAACGGGGGTGTCGGAGGTATAGGGGACTATCAGACCCAGATTGGGGCACTCATGGAAGTGGGGTGTGGGTTGTATCATGAACTGGTGCAGCGGTATGGCAAGTCTAAAGCATGCATGTAAATTATAGCGTCCTTCGGCACTGGAATGAGACTCACTGGTTGAACACTAGCACAGGCGCTGCACAAAGGACAACATCCAAGGGAGAGGGGTTATGCCTACCCAACGTGCCCACTGTGACTGAAAGAGGACAAATCCTTGGATCCGTGGGATAACTGTACAGTACTAGAGGGACATGGAGTTTAGAGAATGATAAGTCCGAGTTTAGAAAGCTGTTTAGAGTTGAGTTTAGACCAGTTGGGGCGTGTGAGCCCCAAGAGCTAAACTGGCTAAACTGGTCAATTTTGCCAAGACTTTTCAGTTTTGATCTCAGTCTAGGATTTCAGTTTAGACCTCAGTTTAGACCTGTTTAGAGTACCGTGAAACCCCCTATTGTAAAGGGAATTAACACGCGCCCGCTAAGAAAGACCTGAGAAGAAACGAATAAGAACTGACAGAGATACGAATGCAGTGTCTGCTCTGCGCATGGTCTGTGCGTGGGAAACATCCTCCAGCGTCTCAAGGATGTCAAAAGAAAATACAAAGAAATATGATATCTTTGCGTCAATAATATATAAGACAGGACGCAAAACTATAGAACATTTGATGCAATATTCAGCGAGATATAATAGATTACCATACAGTTTGTGCATGGGAAATGAGTAAAATCTCCATAATCGCTTCAGGATCGCCGAACGATGAGTCGGAATAATAATGAAACATGTAGAGAACATCAAGACGCGCCCATGAAAAAAAAACCCGAAGAAACGGATGAGAACTGAGAGAGATATGATAGATTTATGTGAAAATCACATGTATATGTTTAGTTTGAGGAAATTCACGTGAGCAATTGAGTGTAACCTCCCACAACTTTTTTTGCACCCAGACATATGCAAAAAAGTACTAATACCCCCACTCAAAACCGGTTCCCACCCCCCCATGGGAGCAATTCTTTTTTGTTCCCATGTGACTTTGGCATGTAAAATAGATAGATAAATAGATAAAATAGGTAGATAGGTAGATAAATAGGTAATAATAATAATAGTGTTTTTGTTGTAATTAGTGTCAGGGGATGACTCCCGGGTCCCCATGACCCTCCCCTATGGCCCACAGCCTCAAGTCTAGCCAGCCCTATCCAGGGCACAATCCTACTGTGGGTCAGAGATGAGAAGGAAGTTGACTTCTCATCTTCCCACAGTGGCCACAATAGATCAAAAACTTCCGGAGATATCTGGAAGTCACATGGGACCCAGGACCCGGGGCCTGGGGCATCTGGCTGCAAGAGCATCCAGCACAGGGCATGCGTGGGAAGTGCAACAGCCAGGTGTGGGTGTGGGTGCAGGTGCAAGTGTGGGTGTGGATGCAGGTGTGGGCTGGGTCAGGGTGTATGCCCTGACAATTAGTTATTGTTTTTTTGTTGAAATTGGCATGTGGAATAGGTAGTAGTACTGTTGTATTAGTCATGTTTGATTATGTGTTTGCTATTTGCATACTGTACCCACATGACCAACTACCGGTCACGCGTCACACGGGCTCGCTGGTCAGGCTCATTTGAAGACTCTGTCATGTGTCATGCGAGGCAAGTGGTCAAATTGTCCCATGTCACACAAAAATGCTCATTCGCTTGTGGCTATGCAAAGGCAATTTCAAATTTCCTTTTTTGGGTAATTGGTATGTTCAAAACCGAAAAACAGCCATCTCCTCATCCAAATTGCGTGTTTTTCTAGCTTGCATTCCACGGCCAAGGTCGGAGGGAGCCAAGGAAACCTCATTGAGGGTGTCAGGCTCAGCCTCCTCAGCACAAGTTGACGCAACTTGCAGGCCACCATTAACCACTTCAAGCCCATCTGGGGCCGTGCACCTATCCATGTGCTCAAAGACTTCTTCCATCCTTACATCAACATCATCTTCTATGGTCTCGGTGAATTCTCCCTCGTGTACGACAGGATGTGAGTCTGGGTGGATGTTGCTGTTATTATGGGGTCGGCTTCGCGGTCCTGTTATCGCTCTTGCAAGGTCGGGATCGTGTTCATGAAGAGCATCGAGGATCAGGCATAGTGGGCGACTGGTAATACTAGGGTGAGACAGATTGAAGTCGCCTGAGTGACACAGTTCAAAGGCCTAAACTACTTAGTATTCATGCACGGAAATGAGGATTTGTGTTTGGAGTGACTCACTTTCTGAATTCTGTCGCGTCGATTCATATGTTGGAAAGCATGTACTAATGTTTCAGGGACACGGTCCCTTAGTACACCTAGCTTGGTATTGAGAGTTATGTGACATGAGTCAATACCGCTTTGTAGCTGTGAATAAACCTCCTTCACAGCGGCAGTCTGCTGAGCCTGCTTCACAGCATGTTTCAGTGGACGCTGGATTCCAACATCGCAGGGCTGCCAGAGACCTGTACATCCACCAGGAACATAGTCGAGTATAATCCAGGGATAATTTTCATACATCCAGACTCGAAACTCAAGTGATGCGTGGACTGGCCACACATCGAGCTGCCAAATGCACTCCTGAAGCGGGTCAAGGGAGAGCCGCTCCTTTTCAGTATTGAAATAAGGAACTAAGATGCGAGTTACAAATGACTTCATTGTCGCAATATTAGCCCAGTATGTGTCATTGCCAGAGATCTCAAAAACAAAGCCAAGATGCATTGCTTCAGGATAACTTGAGGCATTCGGTGAAGGGAGACTTGCTGGAGTTTTGCCTCGGAAGATGGCCTGGAAGGGTAAAAGGATTCCACTTGCAGAGACAGCCACATTGAGAGTGAATGCACGCTTCTCATCGTGGCCGACAGTGGAGACCTGGCGCAATCCCTTCTTTTCATATGTAGCGGCTGAGTTTTGCTGGTAAATCACTTGTGTCTGATCTGAGTTCACCCGAAGACAGTCAGGAATCACATATTGACGGATAGAGTAGGCCTGGCGAAGCAATGAGGAACGGATTTTTTCATCCGCATCGGGGGGGGTTTTTTGGGAAGCATGCGTTGCTCGGCGCAGGCTCCAATTCATTTCCTGTTTGAGAAATTTCCGAACCCATCCCATGCTTGCAGAAAACGTGCTTCCATCCATCCTCACAACAGTCCTCAAGATACTGGGCTGGGCATGTTGAATTTGCGCGAGGATGATACCACGGACTTGGTGAGCATCCAGTGCAGCACCAGCCTGTCGAACACTTAACAACATCTGTTTGATCACTTCCGCAATTTCAGGATACGATGCCTATGTTTTTTCATCTTATAAGTCTTCAAAACTCGACTAGCTAGTTCCCAACTCACCAATATCCCCCTCTGTGTAATGCCGCTTCCTGGGCAATTCTCCTTTTCAACCTTCGCAAGTGTTTCATTGGACCAACATGGATGCGACCCTGAACGATCGATCCATTTACAAACAACGTCGGCACGGAGTGAGTGGAATAGTCTCCAGCTTCTCCTTTGACACCGTTTCACTATTTCGGTAGGACTCATTTTCTGGCCAACAGTTGTGGCCACTTCCATTATCACTGTCCAGAAGATGGGCTGGAACCAGTTTGTTGCCTGGGCAAACTTGCGCACTTTTCGCCTAGGAGGCTGGACAACATTGTCCAAATGGTGAGTAGTCTTTTGGCACTTTCGTTCCTTCATTGAATCCTGAATCTGACGCTTTGGCTGCAACAACTCTGCGATTGGAACCAACATGGCTGTGGCACTTGCATTGGACCCCATATCAACCAAGCCCTAAGCAATCCTTTCCATTAGAAACTAGCACATTCTCAACAAGACCACTTGGTTTACCTCTTCCTTCAATTCTTCCTTGCCCTCTACCAACTTCGTTCGGCGACACTGCTGACATTCCCGAGCCAATGCTCGACTTCTCTCCACCTTTTTCCTTGCTGCTAGGTCTGCTGCCATCTGCACTCCTTTGTGTCTCTCAGCGAGTCTTTCAAATTCAATCATCGTTTGTTGCTCAAATTCTTCGTGACTCACACGGCTGAAGAATTGGAGCAGCCCATGCTTGTCATTCCCCTCCTGGATGGTGAGGTCTACCTTTGATTTTCTTCCCTCCAGCTCTCGGGTATTTGAACCAACCAGGTTGTCCACTGTGGCTGGGGTGTGTCACGACCCGACATATCCATCACTTCCCTCTATGCGCCCTAGTGCCACTTGGTCCGTCCCTCCCGCTATCATCATCATCCGTCCACCCATCCGTCCACCCGTCACCCTCATCCGCACTTCCTCCCTCGCGCACGTACCTACCAACCTAGGTTGCCTGCTTCATTGTTGTCCGCCCCCAGCCGGACGGCTTGCTAGACAGCCGGATGGCCTTTTCTCTTTTGTCCGCTTACAGACTATTGTTCTTTCCTTTTGTTCCTTGCTTGCCTTTTGTTGATCAAGTTTGCCGATATTAACTATTTGTTCCTTTCTTCATTCATTAATATCGCGCTTGATCCGCCACTCCTTCCGGGCCGGTCTCATTTAGTTACTTGTGTTTATAACGCATGTAGGTTACACCGGATGTACCTTAGTTCGTATATCGACTTGGATTCCCCCTCTAAACTCTTATCCTCATCGTAAGGCTTCTGTCTGAAATTGGGACACCAACGTAAGAACGAAGCGCAGCGCTCCACCCGAGTCGCTGAAGCTAAAGTCCTGCCCCTCCGACCTTACGAGCCCGGACGACCTCACGCCCCTCGCGGGTCACCCGGATACGCTTCTGGAACGTTCCTGACAGGGTGGTCATGAGGATTGCAGGCAGCACCGGTGATTCCGGCATCATCGCAACTTGGACTGATGCTGTTACCGGTGTTGCCACAAGTGTAGCGGCCATTGTCGCTGTTTGTGTCGGTGCTGCCTTATCACAGGGAAGTTATATTTCATCCATCCTGTTGGTTCACTCGGTTACTTACCTGTGCACTGTGATGGTCAAGGATGGATGTCAGAAATTTGACACGCAGTATTGCTGCATCTTCACCGGTGTGAAGTGGATACTTGTTTGGGATAAGGTGATGCATGAGTGCATCAAGAGCGAAGAAGCCGCATGATACAAAATCATTTTGGTGTGCAATTGGTAGCCATCGAATCTGAAACAGAGATGCAGACTGGCTTGGCTCTAGACTGGATATGTCAAGCCACCATCGAAGAACCCTGATTACTTCCTTCACTGCAACCGATTGCCCATCATCTCCCATTGGCTTGTGAAAGGAATCACCGAGGTAAATGGTTGATTCTAGGGGGGAAATGGAGAATGCAATCCAGTGATTATTGACATGGATAATCCCTCCAAATTGATGTACAGATCCAGATGCGAGCTCAGCACCAAACTGGTGGAGCATTTTGCAGGTGAGACTTTGTCGATATCTTTCTGGCCCATTCCCGTCTGATTGCATTGCACACCCAGTCAAGTACTGAATGTCCAGAGGGCTCAAAAGCCTAGCGCTTATATCTGGAACCTCTAGGGCATGTTTCAGAAGTTCAATATGGTACGAAATATCTGTAGTGACAAGGCAGGAGAAAGAGAGGTAACGCGTCAGCCCTCCAATACAGCCAGAAGTTGATTTTGAAAATCCAAGGATTTTGGTGTTCCACTTGGATGATAGGAGCTGTTTTTGAGCTGCTAGGATAGCAACACGCTGAGCAGGGTAACGGTTTGCCGGCTTCCTGACTTGCACCTCTGATTCCTTCCACACCTTCTGCAGGTTCTGAACATGAAAGAGGGTTTCCCAAATTTGGAGGATTTTGATAGGGATGTAATGTGTGCCAAATTTAACCGAACAAGGTGGGTTGTCAAAGTTGGACTCATATTCAGAAATTAGATTATTAATTGTGGGGTAGGAAGGCCAGTGTGTGTTGCGGAGATCACTCTCGATTATATCTCTGATGGAGGGTGGGTGATAGCTGAGACATGCACATGAGTGTAGATTTGTTTGGAGGGATGGAACCTTGAACCGGAGGAGCTCGGCGACAGAAAGGGTTTCCTTGGGAAAGTAGGGTCCAATGAGCATAGTAGGGATGTTACTATATGAAATAGGTTCATCCGCACAAGAAGAACTTTGTTGTGCAAGCGTGAAACCATCCATATGTGATAACTGGTGCAAGAAAGTTTTTACAAGGGGGCGCTCCAACCGAAATTTTTTTTTTTCAAATTCTTACTCATTGCCAAACGTGACTAATTTTCCCGAAATTAGCACTGCCTCCCTTTTAGGGCCCGGCTGGCCAGTTGGGTGTCACGCATCAAACTGAGTCGCCAGTTGAAAAATTTGTGTCACACTCAGGACCCAGCCAGTAGTTGGTCATGTGGGTACAGTATACTTATGTGCTGATTTAACCTGACCAGATCCAGATGCATCCTGGTATGGGAACCCAGGGAATGCCATGCCCAGAACAAAAAGGCCATCGATCCTTTTGAGACCGTTTCAACCGCTTCAAGGGTGGTCCCATTCAGACGAAATCTGTAAGGGGTTGGTGTAGGTTCCAACCCCAGTTCTCCTCAATCCTCAAGTCATCAATAAAGTTGAGCTGTTGATGGGGAGGAAAAGGAGTTCTGTTCCTTTTCCCAAATTCCCATGTTATTGTATATACACTGTTTATACATGTTTATTATGAGACACATATAGAATGAAGATAGGAATTAAGGTTACCACTCCTTACAAAATCCCTGCCATTCACTTGCCCATCACCATTCTCAGTGACCCATTCAGTCCCCCAAACACATTCCCATTTTGATCCCTCCCGGGTCGCTCACATGATCATGGATGCAAAAACGAATGAGTGAACAAACAAACAAACCACAACAAATGATGAATTGCAACCCACATGCCATTGCTTTTTGTTTCACCACCCTCCCTCTGCATGCTTGACTTGGAAGCACTGAAGACAAAGGGGCTGACATCAACAAAAGAGGGTGAGTGACAATGACAAAAGCAGGTGAGTCCACATGGCTCACAGTCATCCTCTTGCTGTGGTGTCTTTTGCAAGCCAACTGAAGTGACAGTGCCACTCCTATCCGAGTATATCACCCACCTGGTCACTGTCCAGAAATGATCTTCCAGCCTGGTAGGAGTAACCTATTCAGCATTCAAGAGGCATTTTACTTCCCAGTATGTGGCACCATTTGGTCATTGTTTTGACCAAGGCCAATGCAAATTCCATGTGAATAGGGGGAAGAGTGGGTATTGGAAACTAAGTCCAATACCTGATGAGTGTGAGGGAAACCCTTGTGAGGCTCAAGTCATACATGATCTGGTTAATGCTATCAAGAACAAGCACAAGGTTGAAGGCCAGGTTTGCAACCATGCCCAAGCTATTCGGATTGAGGATATCAAGAAGTTGCAGGGTGTGTGTCAGGGACATGTCTGGGGTCGAGGAGGCCCAGGTGTAATGCCTGGCACTGAGGCCGTTGCAGGGTGTGGAGCAGGCATGCATAGTGACAGGCCCAATCTGGGACGATGATCCCTGGCCACTCAGACTGAAGTGGGAATCGTGAGAAGAAGGTTACTTCTTTGGTTCCCACCCCAGGTACTTTTATGTACATGCGGCTTGGGTCACATGAGGTTTGCCATGTCACCCTGCATACAGCCACAGTCATCTGGGTGTCCCCATGGGGGTCCCAAGGGTGTGTGCTGCACACGCATGTGCTGGGTTGCACTGTGAGGCTGTCCGTGTCATATCCATACAATCCTGACCTCCGCTCCAGGCTCCCGGAACTCTGAACCTGACTTCCGGAGTCCTACTTCCCTTCCAAGAGGTTATCCCACCTCCGGCTCTGACACCACCTTCGGTCCGACTCCGGAACATTCCGGGTCCAACCCCAACCTCGACACCTTCCAGGCGAGTATGCAACACCTATGCTCCTGACTCCAGGCCTCCGCTCCGGAATCCTGTTCGTGTCCCCATCTCCGGAACCTCCAGTCTGAGCTCCGACCTCAGACTTTGACCCCACCTCCACTTATACCCATTGTATTGGTTAGCTCATTCCATTTAATTATGTTTGCCAATATTCCGGAGTTTAACTTCCAAGTTCGGACTTTCCGGACTTACCTCGGACCTTGCAACTATTGCATTGTCCTATTCAATTCCGCTATTCTCCCTCATTCCTATTTGGGCTGCTGCTTCCTTTCTATTCAGTAAGCTAGCCATCCCCCACTCCCAACCTCCTTCCTTCCGGCCATGGCCCTTCATTCCTCCTTTGAGAAACACCATTGAGTCAAACCCTTGACCCTCGGTGTTGTTCCTCTTTCCATCTCCCTTTGTCTCCTTTCATCCTACCCTCGCTCCTTTTGATTCCGGACCCCTCCTTATATACAATGTACATAGTAACTTGTAACCTCAGTCCGAAATCGACCTGAATTCCCCCCAAGAGACTTTCCCTCTGCTAGATCCGAAATTAGGGACCCCCAGGACAACCAGCAATGGCACAGCGCTCCGCCTGAGTCGCTGAGGCCGAGGTCCTTCCATGCTAAGTCTCTGATTCCACTCCGGAGTCGTCCAAATCCACCCAGTTCTAACAGTCCAGGTCATCCAGGGCTGGGTGCTTCATGCACTGTTGTGGGGACAACTCCATGTACCGCAAAAAGTTGGATTCTGCAGAATTTGCCCACCAACATGCACTACATATTCGCTGACGCTCCTGATGCTCATTATATCACTATCCAACACTCCAAACACGCACTCCTTATCTTTCCATATTTTCCCCATCATTCCCAACAACCCAAGCAAAATTCCCACACCCAACCATGCTGCCAATTTCACCCCCTCTCTAGATCTCCATAACCACACATTAAACTCAGCCATTTTTCTACCCATTGGTGATGCTATACCTTCCTCCTTTACCCACGGAGCAATTCCCAGAATGGCAACCCCATATTCAGATGGTTCAGCATGGTGTATAACCTCACTGTCATATCCATCCACAGCCATCAACTTCCACTACCTCCAATCTCTCCGGACTACCTCCACTCCTTCACTAACCTTGGAGCTCCCATATTCCGCAATCACCTCCACTTCCCTCGATGGTCACCACCCCCTCTTTTCAATATATTACCTACGCCTCCCTAAGTATGGAGCCCTGAAGGCTTCCGGACAGCTCCAACGTCCGCTAGCACACCCCTGCCTCCGCTGGGCAATACATTCGTTTGCCCTGCAAGCCCACCTTCAGGCCTATCCCTCCTTTCCATTTCTGGGTTATCACCTACCATTCCACTAACCCTGTAACCTGACTTGTCAGTAATATTCAATCGGCTAATGTTTAACCCCGTTAGCTCCGCTCTGCTTGGCCCTGTTGTTTACGTGCCTGCCCCCGCTGTAACTATATATACTTGACTTGTAAATAGGTTACACCTCAGTAATAAAATCGACTAGAGTTGACCCCCTTTAGTTCTGGTTGCCAGTAAGTAAGTTAGGGCACGGACGTGTTACTTGGCACAGTGCTCCTGGCATAAGTTGCTGAGGCCAAAGCTGTTAGAGATGAGGCGTGGATTCAGACGACTCCGGAGTGGAATTGGAGACTTAGCGTGGAAGGACCTTGGCCTCAGCAACTCAAGCAGAGCGTTGTGCCATTGCTGTTTGTCCATTTGGTCCTTAATTTCACAGTAGGCGAGCAGGAAGTCTCTAGGGGGCATTCAGGTCGATTTCGGACTGAGCCCTCACGAGTATGTACAAGTGCCAATATATATAATGGAGGGGGCAAGAGCACAAGGAAACAAAGGGGATCCGAATCGGAACGAAGACATCCAAATGGGAACAAAGGGTAGACAGAAGCGGAGCGGTACCGATGGTCATAAGGCAGAACCTGTGATACGTCCGAAAGGAGGTAGGGAAGGTGAGGCCCAGAGGGGCAGGAGGATGAGGAGAAGTGGGGATGATGACTAACTGGCTAGAATGGGAAGAAGCAGCAGTCCAATGAGGGGAAAACACGAGAGATATATTACAAGTGGCGAAAGTGCCGAAGGTGATCTGTGAAGCTCGGAGCTTATGGAGGCGGGGTTGAAAGTCCGAGGGATATTGGCAATGGTGTTTACGTAGTATGAGGTCACCAATGCAATGGACTAAGACCGAGGTGGAGTCAAAGTCCGAGGTAGGGACTATGACGGAGGCTCGGAGCAAAGATACGAGTGGTGCCTGAGTACAAAGTACAGGACAGCGGTGGTAGGTCGTAACTTGGTGGGAGGTCAGCGGAAGAGTACCAGAGGGAGGAGAGAGGAGAAAGGGAAGAGAGAAGGAGTGGCAGAAAGGAGAGTTGTCAGGTCTGAAGGTGAGTATCAGAGCAGACGGAGATAGGGGAGGAGAGGGAAGGAGGAGTGGAGGTGGCATCGGAGGTAAGAGGAGGTGTGTTGCCAGGACTGAAGGTGAGTATTGGAATGGACAGCGGTAGGGTAGGACTCCAGAGGTGGGGAAGGAGGAGGTCTGGAAGTCGGGTCGGGGTCAGGTATGCACGGATATGACAGAAGCCCTCCGCCATGGAGACATTCCTTCGTCTCGATCTGGTCTCTGACAGACCCCCCATTTCTCTCCTGTACCCCAAACTTGGACACTGATCATACCTCCACTCCAAGATCCTGTCTTGGTCCTGACCTTGGACTTTGACACCACCCTGGCTTAAAGTCCATTGCATTGGTGACCTCATTTCATGTAAACACCGTTGCCAATAGTCCTTGGACTTTCAATCCTGTCAAAAACCCTGAACATAGGGGAAAATGCATGAGTCTGAATGCAGGTGGGGCTCAACTAGAGGGGATCTGAGAGCTCTGGTAGTGGACCGAAGCCTCTCCAGGAAGCCTGGGTCTGCTGGGTGGTACAAGAGGCTCTAAGAAGGTCATGGCTTCAGCGACTCGGAGGGAGCACTGTGCCTCCGTTACATCTCAGTTAGTCCTTGTATTTCATGTGTCTGAGGTATCTTGTAGGAAGGGGTCGGGATTCACTCAGAGGGACTTGGGGTAACATTTTAGTCAAGATTAGAACTGGGGAACTACAGGTTCTAATCTACAAGTATTTATATATGGAGGACTGGGAAGGACTTTAGTCAAAGTCTGAGCGATAATGGAAAACACCGAAAGGTGCCGAATGATACTGAACGATATCC